CGAATTGGCATCTGATGGATATTTTATACACAGCAAGCACCACAATAATTCTTGTTGCAAAATTTCTTCAAAAGAGTACACATTATTGATAACATCACATAAATCTCCTTGCAAAAGACTAGTCAAAGGTTTTTCTTGCGGAATCAAAGATTCAATAGTAACTTGTTTCCATCCACACGTAAAATTAAATGATTCCAAAGAGGTTTTGTGATCTCGGTGAATATGAAGAATAATACAAACATGCTTAGTAATTGCATCATATGCGTTTTGTTGTTGCTTCTGATTCAAGTAGTCGATCCTAAATTGCTCAATTATGAATTTAGCCAATTTAATACATCCAAAATTAACAGTTAAGACGTCACACTGTAGAATCAATGTCTGAATATTTGGTGATTCAAACCAGAAATGCTTAACCCTATTTTGAAATTGAGCTTCTGTTTTGAATGTAGAAAGCTTTAACACAGTACATGTGGTGATATCTCGTAAACATTCTTTAACGTCTGCATTAATATTTGAAAATGTGTTGATGATCACTTGATGTCCATCAGCTTCCAAATTTTGATCAAATAAATATTTAAAATAATCTGCGATATCATTATGGTGTAATTTAAAATAAACGTTCTTCCAATAATCAACTTCATCACGATTCAGTACACTTTTTTCTGCTCTAATAACTCCATCCGAGGAAGCAATGGCAATTAATGTTTCCTTGCACCTTTCGAGTGTTTCATCAAATTGAAGTTGTGAATTATTCTTTCTAACATTTATTACCAAACTTTGTAAAGTTTCGTCTTGGTCAAACCCAATGAACAAATCTTTTTGAGTAAATTTTTTGTGTGTTGGAACAAATCCATTCAATGCTATAGTTGCTGACATGTGCTGTGCCCAAGTTGATAATTGTTGTACTAATAAAAGTTCTTCGGATGAAAGAATGTCATTTATTGCCATCTTTTGCTTTTCAAAACGATTCAAGAGTGGTGGATCCGCTTTTGGTAAGTTCTTTTCATCAAGTACAAGAATGCATCTAAAATTCTTGTTGACATACCTGGGAATAAAATTACCATTTTATTCACATATACTTCAAGTAAGTTGAATCATAAATTCAAATTGAAGACGTAAACTTACAGCATTGGATTAGCATAAGCACCAAGTGCTACTCTGGTGTAATACTTTGGATCTTCAGCACTTCCGACAACTATATAATTTTGATTCCACAAATCATAAAGACTTCCTGTTATCAAATACAAATGTATCGGTTTAATTAATGGAAGTGTTATATGCATGGTAAAAGTTAATAAACAATAATATACCATAAATGATCTCTAAATCTGTCAAAATTAACGGTTTTCCTGCTTCAACACACATCTAATAATTAAAATACACAATCTTGGTATTAAACCCAAATTCAAAATCCTGTTATTACATAGTGTGAAAAAGAAACAATACCATAATTCTATTTAGAATGCTGTAGGAATAATCGTCTTGGTCGTCAGGAAATTGAGATCCAAAAATAATAACAGGGTCTAAATTCCTCTGTCTTAACTGATATGCCAATAAATTAACTACAGAATCGCTTCTTCCAATAATCATCAAATGTCTCGCACCCTCATCATCCAAGTTCATATGTATTAATTTTTCAGTAGGTATAGGATTATAAACCCAGCTTTTATGATTGTTAAATTCATTTATAGCGTTACCAAAATATTTTTGACATATTTCGGAAAATTTGTTGGTGCCACCAAAGTTTCTCGCTAACGCCATTTGTATATTTTCAGGAGTTATATCATTTAAAGAAAGAGATTTAATGAAAGCATAGTAATCTCTTAAGCCATGGAAGTTTGGATGGATTTGACCTTCTTGCTCGTAAATGGAATATGCTTTTGCGAGCGGGTATAAAGATGCTTTTTGAATCTGGCCAGAAGTTTTGTTGTCTAATATTCGGGCTGCAGTATCTACCAGATCGTCCAAGTCAAACCTGGGTCTATAGTTATACGCGTAAAAATTAGTTTAATGAAAATTAAATCAACAAAAATAGTGGATTTTAACAAACCTTTGAACTAGCAAGGCCCTGCTACTTTTGCTATTATCCAACCTCCAATTACTTATTCCAATAACAGAAACGCTAGGGCGGCTAGATTTATAACTTGGTTCCAATAGTGAATGAAGTACTTTCAATGGATTAAATGGACTTGTCTCGGCCAATCCTACTTCATCCAATAGAACTACACTAATTACGGGAAATTCATTTGAACTTGTTTCTTGAAAGTTTTGAGCTTTTTGAAAGACTTTTAAAATTCCCTCGGATGTTGAAGATGATGAACCTTGATGAGGAATGAGATATACCTAATATCATTGTAAAATTTTAAATAGACATAATAAAGTGTGTATTAATCATTAAGAAAAAAAAAATTACAAAAATGTACAGTATTCATGCACAAATGTAGCTGGCTATTTACCTGTGGCAATTTCCTAAAGTATTCATCGTTTGAATCAGATCCACGCAAATTTTGACCAACAAGACGAATAGCTAATGATTTTGAAGATCTATTCAAATCAAAAATAAGTATTACGTTATATTAAAAGTTCTATCTGATCAACAAACAACTGTGTAATCATACCCAGGCGCGCCGATAATAAAAACAGGTATTCTGGTTAATATGCAAACGGTCATAACCAAAACATTTTCTAAAAGCGCCTCATTTTTTGCAGTATTTGGTAGACAGACCATTCTATTAATATAATCTTCTTGTTCATCTCTAATAATCTTCATGAATTCTTTTTCATCTATATGAACACCGTGAGCTTCAAATGTTTCACATATAATCTTCCTATATTTTGTACGTAATGATTGATCATATAACCTCGATTGATAACAAAGCCCTAATGCCAATACATATGAACGAATGTTATCACGTGAATCAGGCGGATATTTCGGTGCATCTTTACGAATTGGTGGCCGATCTTGTAAACTCTTGTAAAAGAATTGAATTAAAGTTATTGCGCGTTTTATGTCACGCAGACTGACGCTATATGGTTCTTCTACACTTCGAATATATTCTTGGGAAGCAGATAATAGGTCAGCTAAAGCTGGGTGACTTAATTCCTTTAATTGTGTAGCTACCATGATTTGAATATATTTTTTTTCATCATCTGGTTGAAGTATACCATAATCCCAAACATAATCAAGGATTTGATCTGGAAGTGGTTTGACTTCGTATACAAGATTGCTTTGTTCTTCATATCTCTTAATTTGCTTAGTTTGTAATCCTGCTTCACTAACACTTTTGGTTCGAATTCTGTAAGGATTACATGCTGCAAACAATCGAATGTTGTAGTGTATTGTATTACCAAGATAAATTCTGTGAGCTATTAAATCCGAAAGAAGACCTATGTGATTGCAAGTATTAATTTCATCAAAAAATATCCAAACTTCGCCTTTCTTGGCATTATTTCGGGCTTCGGTCATGAATTCAGCAATAGTTTGTTCGTCAATTCCGGCGTGGAGATTAAGTGCAAAGAATTGAGCTCCGACAACTTCGGCTAAGAATCCAATTAAGCTTGTCTGAAAAAATATAGTATTCATATATTGATTAATAGACAAAATATATTAAAGTACAGTGACATCTTCAAGTATATTAATTACGTACCTTTCCACATCCAGCCTCACCAGAAATTACTACCGGAATATTTGCACGTGTTCTCAATAATATTAATGCCATTTTTACCAAATTGTCCGCAGACAACGCGTAAGGTGTATACTCCACCTTATGATAGGTTTTTCTAGCAATACTTTCCAATTTTTCCAATAGAACTTCGGCTGACATTTTTGAATAATCATCCAACTCCCATTTTTCCAAATTTTGTGCAATAAATTGACTTTCAAGCAATTGTTGAACATTTTCAGGAACTTTGTCCTTGTCGCGATATAAAGCACAAATAGAATCTGGTGTTTGTGATAAAAAGAATACTAATAAATGATTTGAATCATCCCATTTCACAATTGTATTTAACTGTGTATTTTCTATGCCATCAAATGAAGTTGCTTCTAATTGTACTGCTTTCGTTTGAATTGACCTCACGGCAAAATCCTTTGACACATCTAATAACGTTTTTACTAAAGTTGTTCTAATTTTTGTTTCTTTTTCAAGCATCAAAGCTATATTTTCAACTTTGAAATATGAACTCGAAGATAGTCGAACCAGCTGATCAGCAAAGACACTAATGAAAATTTCCAAAAATCGGAATGATAGTATTTCTTCTGAATTATTGTCATTAAAAAAATATCGATTTATAAGTTCCCGACATAGTGCATCACAAATAACTTCATTAGCTATATCTGATACTTGGAGTGAAATATTTTTTTCATTAATCTGACGTAGATGAAATGCAAATAAATAGCGACATACTATTTGCATGGGACTATTAATATCTTGTGAGACTATCAAATTATTAATATCCCATGTAATGTGATGTTTTGGTAAATAATCCATCATTGGGAGTGATCTTAGTAAATGTTGTTGGAAGCTTGATGCAACTTCAATATATATGAATGTTGTGCGAGGAAGGCTTGCTATATCAGCATTATTAGATACTATTCCAAAACTTAAAAGTTCGAAAAGAAACAAGTTGACATCGCCAGGATAATCGGATGAAATTATATTAATATGCACGCATTCCATTGGTCTAAGTGTAAACTCTTTTAACTTTCGAACAAGCTTTCCAAAATCAGCACCATCACTAATGAGAAAACTCTTTGGAAGCTTACTATTTTCAAAACATTCATGTTTAATCCATTCCGTTTTGCCCTGACCCGAAAGATCCGATGATACACATGTAACATTAGAACACAATTTTTGATAAATAGTTGTCATTGCACTAGAACTTAAACCGTTTGTTGCATGAACATCTTGCGAAAATTGGTCCAATATGTGATGATGCATTCCACCCTCAGAATTGCAGACTAATGCTAGAAGGTAATTAGGTCCTTTTTCTCGCATGGATCGAATTTTATTCACCAAATTATATTGTAATTCAAAGTCAAGTAATTCCAAATTTGCCATGCAAAACAAATGGTTTTCATATCCATTTTTGAAAGCCAAAAAACATCGTTTGATAAATATTGAAAGTTCTTCCAAGGTTGTGGACGATGTACAAATCAAGACCTGCCAAGCTTCAGGAAATGTTCCATGATTTGCATACAACGACATTATAATGTTTGGAACTCGTGACTTGTCATTACATGCTGCAACAAATAGTCTTCCACGAATCACAACATCCGATGCTACGCGTTCTATTGAAGTTTTTAGCAAACGTGGAGTTTTGGATAGAGATCCAAAAATAAGGTTTAATTTAGTTCCAATATCATTCAATATCTGAAGATGTGAATCCTTTCGTGCAATCGATATGGTTCTATCTCTAGTCGGTAGTTTGGCATGTGGGTTCACAAATCTAACGAGAGTTTGGCATGTTTTAGTATTTGTGGGTGAACGACTCGTGAAAAAATCATAAAATTCTAGGATATGTCGCGCTGGAAAGAATGTTAGGTAGAAATGATTTTCTTGCGCTTTATTCACTAAATTTTCCCTATAACATAAAAAGGATATTGTATATTAATGAATATATACAAAAAAGATAGAAAGAAATATATGTATCTTTACCATTTTCTAAGCTCTAATTTTAATTTTTCGGCCAATTGAGTCATATTTTCAGATCCTTTGACTGATTCTTGAAATTCTCTATAACCAAAGTGACCAGTCTCAATTAATTTCGCGGCGATATTATTAACGATGTCCTGAGCTATATCTACTTGACGTACAAATTCATCCATTATTTCCTTTGTTTTATCTTTTTTACTCTCATCATTTGAACCTCCAATTGTGATATTTGTGATATCTGGCTTTGCTATTAAAAGGGCCCGTCCACGTAAATCTTGCAAGTCATTAAAATTATATGTGATGACAGTTTTTGTTTTCGTAATTTGATATGATAACTTCACTGAACACTTCTTATCTGTTGATTTCCATTCAAATTTATAAGTCCCAATTTTAACGGCATTTAGAATTTTTTCTTTGGTTACTTCTCCTCTGTTACTAATGTTTGCATACATATTTTGTAACGCCATATTACTGCTATTACATAATGTAACTTTGCTTGCGAATGTTGGATTCAACTCAATGATTTTAGCCAAATCTTGTAAGAACGTATCCAAGGTCAAGGTTGATGCAGCACTTAATAGTGGAAACAAGAACTGTTTAACTTGAATAAGAGATGCAACTGTATCTTCTTGAATCAATCGTTCATCAGAATGATCATCAACACCATTTATAAGATTCTTAAGATCGTGTTCTGCAATAGATCTTAGAAAATTGATAAATTCTTCAGCATTTGAAAGTTCTTTAATTAATGACCAACCATTTTCATCAATGACAGCGAGATGATCATTAATGGAATCAAATACAGAACTTAATTGTCCTAAGAGAATTGATTGTCCCTCAAGATCATTAAGTGCTTCTGAGAGCCAGTCTTGTTCATTCCGAGGTATATTAAATATTTCTATCACAGTTGTTAGTTGATGTAACTTTTGTGTTATTTTCAAAACTTCAGAGAGCTGAGTAAGGGTCATTATGTACTTTTGGTCTTGATTCCTAGGAATAAATTCAGTCATGAATTCAAGCTCAGCATTGATATTTGTAACATTTTTCCAAAACATCGCTGCGAACGGTAATTGGATATATTGCCAATTTTGAAATTTAGAACAATCTTTAATGTATGATACAAAAACTTTTGGCATGATATCTTGTGCAAGTGTTTGTACATTTATTTCATTCGGAATTTCTTGTAAAATTTTTTCAAAAACATTATAAAATGTTTGAGATTTGTTGTATTTATAAACTTTCTTTGCAACATCTAAAATCTCAGAATGGTCTTTCCAAATTTCAGGATCCTGGGTTTTACTAAGCGAAATCGATTCCCACATGTCCTTTTGTTCACGTAATTCATCAATACCATCTTGTCCATTTGTGACTTTAGTGATTAAGCAATACCGCACATAGAAAGCATTAATATGCTCAAATGTTTGCAAATATTTTCTAATTTGTTCCTTAACTGATTTCAAGATATCCTTTGTGACAAATACTTCAACGTCATCTTCATCGAATATTGACACAGATTTAAAATATGCTAATAAAGAGTCATCATCGTATTTGTGAATATTTTGTAAGAGAAAAATGTCAACCGATTCCTTTACTATATCACGACCCAATTGGGAAATCGCTTTTTTAACCATTTTGATGCAATGAAGTGAATTTAACTTTTCCACATAACCATTAGCTCTCAAAATCCTTGTCCAAAAACTTGCCGTACTAAGAAGAGAAAGATGAAAATTTGTTGGGGCCACCTCCCAATCCGCATCATGAGATATGAGATTAGTTCCCAAACATTTAATAATATGACAAATCAGGTCTTCGCTTAATCTAAGTTAAATGTGTTAAATAATCAGTTATATTTAACAAATATTAATAAATAAATGTAAAAATACTTACAAGCTTGGAATAGTAAGTTGTTCACCTGAAACAGTACAAATTTGTTTAATTTTCATTATCAATCGACTATCGATTTGTTGTGTGGATTCAGTCAACATCTCTTCAACTATACGACGAAAATACGTAACAACTTCTAGATGAAATTTCTCAATATTTGATATAGCTTTGAAAACAAGGGTTTCAGGAAACTGTTTCATACTATTAGTAGTGAGCTCCATTATTTTTTTCCAAAGCACTGTATATTTTCCAATTCTCTCATAGAGAAGCGATACATGATGGAAAATCAAAATGATGGTGTCCTTTTTAATCTGAGACAAAGAAGTTAAATGATCCAAGAAGCGTTCATACCATTTTTTACAAATTTTAAAAAATTGACCCCGTTCATCTATCAGATCATCAAACCAATCTTGAAAAGTTTTTAATAATTCATGGAAATGGAGTAACATTTCAAAATTAGTGAATTGAGAAAATAAATCTAGCACGGTAATATAATCATCAGAAGCCCAAA